AAAAAAAAAAAAAAAAACACAAAAAAAAAACCAAGGCAAGAGTTGGCCAATTAGAAAGGGGAAGGAAGCAGTATGCTTGCCTTCTTCATTTATTTATGTAAATATTATACATATATATATATCTCACTTGTTTTTTAAGGTTTTTTTTAAGAAGCAGTCAGGGAAAATTTTATGCAGCCATGTAAATACAAGCACTGGATTAACTTTCCCAGTGTCAGCAAATGGGGAGAAGTGGAGGATTTTCTGATGAAAATATACAAATGCTTTAAGAGACTTTCAATCACCACCTGGGCTTGTGCTGGGTTTTTTTAAATACTACGTATGCAGAAGGAAAGAACAGTCAGTGTGTAACATACCCCAAGCTGCTTTATTCCAATCATTCCCTAAAACTTGTGCCGAAGGCAGGGTGGGCTGTAAATGGATCGAGGGGCAGAGGGGGGAGGCCGGGGTCTCGGGGTTTGTTTTTGGAAGGCAGGAAGAAGGAGCAGCTCTGAGATCAGGTGATGCCTTGCTTACTTTGCACCTTCTGATGCACAGCTGGTTGGGAACTGAGGAGCAGAGGGTAGAAGCATCACGCCTAAAGCAGAGGAAAAAATGCTGAATTTTGTCCCTTATTGCTGCAAAACCTCAGCCGTTGTTTCCAGAGCCCTCCATCCACGACACCACCCCGTGCGACAGCTCCTGAATCCTGGCTGCTTCTTGCTTTGCTTTTCCAAAGACGTTCTGCTCGAGCTAGCGTCACTGCGGCTTCTCCTGGATGAAAGTGGGGAAAGGACAGAAGCAGCTTTTCCCACTGGAGTGTGAAGGAGCTGTGGACTGGGAAGGTGATAAGAGATTTGTGGGGGGAAACAGCAGGCCCCAGGCCCCAGGTCCAATCACGGCGAATGCGCTTGGCTTTTGTGGCAGTGCCAGGAAATTGAAAGCAAACTGCTTTGCTCTGTAGGACCACACCTGGATCTTAGAGGGAATGTGTGCTCATTGGCAAGAGCTTGGGATGCATGCATGCTGTGGGAGAAGGTCCTGTGCCAAGCAAGGGTGTGTGCTTCTCTGGCTTCGTCCTGTGGCTGATCTGTGCTGGAAATTCACCTAGAAACTTAGAAATCACACCTAGCCCTTACTGCAAAACCTGAGTGGGGCTTGGCAGTGGGACTAAGCTGTATCGACAGATTTGTATAGGTGGCCAGGACATGTAGATTGTGAGTAGCCTGGTAGAAAGCGAACTGCTTTTCCTTGTGCTGGTCGGGTCACCTCCTCAGCAAGGAGAACAGACGGTATAGTGCTGCCATCTTCCTCCTGGTGTTAGCAATTCCTTGAGGCCTGGCCTTGCTCTCTCCTCCCCCCCAAGCAGCTTGTTGCATCGCATGGGCAGAATGAAGCCGCAGCAGCTCCTGCGCGGCCGACGGACCCGCTTTGCTCAGGCAGCACTCAGGGGTGCGTCACTCCACGGGGGACATCTCCTTCCCCTTGCTTCTGAGCCGACCTGGGAGGTGAAGGAGCCGTCCCCCTCCCCTCTCTGTAGAACAAACTACAATACAAGGGCAGGTCTCTTGGCTTGTCTCTAGCGTGCTTTATTGCCCAGCTCAAATGAGCGAGGAGAGAATTAAACCCCAGGCAGATGGAGCAGGGAGAAGAATCCTTTGTAGTGGTGGTTTGGCTCAAGAGCAAAGCTGCAGCCGAGCTCGGCACAGTGGCGCGAAGGCCGGGGGATTTCGAGAACCTGTCTGGGATGGCTGGCACCTGTTTCCCATCACTTAACACGCAGCAGAAGACAATCGCTGGCTCAGCAGCACGGGGATATACGGCCAACAGGTGATCGGCACCGCAAAAGGCTGCTTCTCCCAGAAAACACCATCCAGGCACCGCAGGGCCCCTCGCCAGCCTGCTCCCGGGCACCGGTGTATGGGCTGGAGAGGGACGAAAGTTTCCTTCTTAAAATCACAAAGCTGCTGCATGTCTAGAAAAACTTGATGTACCTCTGCTTGGTTTGGCTTTGCCACATGTGACACCTCCCTGCGCATTTTTTCCCTGCGGTTGTTTTTGGTTTTTTTTTTCCACTGTATAAGGTCTCAACAGATCTTTTCTGTAGTGAGGATGAAAGATTTATCTGGAGTGATTGCTCAGCAAAATTTTGGGTTTTTTATTTAAAAGGAAAAGATTCTTGCATCTGATGTCAACACTAGTGTGTAGCTGCTCTCCAACACTTGTACCATTCCTGAGTTGTTTTTTTGGACTATCCTTTTATTTTTTTATTCCTTTGTACAGTCAATGTTGTTCAACTGATTATACATGGTTTTGTTTTGTATAAATTAAAGTCTTTTTTTGTTTTGTTTTGAACTTCTAATTGAAAGGTGGAGAAGTTGTATCAGTTTTTCTGTGGACTGGCAAGAAGTTGAAGGGAAAAAGTGGTACTCTGGCCTAAAACTGGGGCTTTGGGGCTGCTTTTGGTGCAGGTGTGTATTGCTGCTTCCAGATCACCCACAAAATAACTCATATAGCATTTTCTAGAAAGTCTTAAAAGTCAGGATTCCTAGCCCTGGTGGATTTTTGCCCTACTAAATACATGCAGAAGCTAAATCTGTTCTTACTTAAGTCTTGATTCTCACAGAATTGCTGATTTTTGTGTAGGGAAGCTCTAAGAAAACACAGCCTAGTCTGCAACACATCTAGCATCGTAGGTGGCTGTAGGAAGCCAGGCTCCCCAGCGCCTTGCGTGGGCTTGTGTGCAGTCCCTGGTACACGGGGATGGGTTAAGTACAGTCAAAGCCTTAAATCGCCTCTTTGGGTCCGGGCGACCCTGGGGAGCGAGGACTGAGTGCTGCAGCAGTATTCACCCATCCTGCCCAGGCTGCAACAAGCTGAAAGTCAGCCTGGGATAAATGTGACTTTGAAATGGAGAAGGTGCTGCAAGGGAGCTCAGAGCACCCCTGTCACATTGGGCTGTCGCTGGGAGTGGTGTTCAGAGGGAGCTGGGAGCCCCAAAGAAGGGGGGTTTGCTCCTGGGGTGGAGGAGGACTTCTTTCTTGATCCTTTTCTCTCTCGCTCCCAGCCCACCTCCCCTTGACCTCCCTTTTCCCCTGCCTCTCGCTTCCCTAGGATCAGATTTTCCACTTCGTACCAGACTGGCCACGCTTGTTTTAACAGCTTAAGTCGTAATTGCCAGGGCTGGGAGGGGGCAGGGGGGGAAATGAGATAGTGTCTGCAGCCTGGAAAACCCTGGAGCTAAGGTGAAAGCCTGGTCAGGGAAGAGTCATTGAGACTTTTTTTTTTTCTCCTTTTCAGGGGGGTTCTGGAAGTGTCTGTTCCCTCTCGGCAGCAGAGCCGAAACAAAGGCTGTGTGTGGTTTCAGGTGGGGTGTGGACAGCCGGAGCCCATTATGCTGGAGCAGCAGGGGCTGCCTTCCCTCCAGCTGTCTCTGCTTGGGGAGAGCAGGGCAAGCAAACACACTGCGCAGCCAGAATGTTGGGGGAAAGGCCAGAAGAGCTTTGGGGGTCTCTGTTCCTTGGAGAAAGGAGGGAGCAGGTTGCTCTGGGCTGGTTCAGGTCTTTCCTAGGTGAGTGTGTTTCTCCAAACCCACCTTCTCAGTTTGAGGGTGTCTTGGGTTGGTCCCGCTGTCCCCTGCGGGGTTGTACCATGCAGGCTGTGAAGAAACAGTGACCTTCATCTGACTGTGCCCCAGATGCTTGAAAATGAGGATGTATCTCCTGTGGGTGTGTTGGTGGGGCTGGAACCCTCCCTGGGTGCAGGGTGTGAGCAGAGGGGGCACATGGTGCTGTGCCCTTCTCTCCAGGACGGGGTGCTGAGCCGCTTCCTGCACTCCCTTGTTTTGAAGGGAGAAGATGAGCCATAAAACTCGCATCCATGTCTGGGATCTTTGAGAGTGACCCCAAAAAATCCCTGTTTTGGGGTGTGGCAGGTGCTTGGGCACATGGAGGTGAATAGTTTGGAAGAGACTGAAGTGAGCATGGTGAAAGTCTATTGTGGGCTTGCTCCAGGGTGGGGAGAGTTGCTTTTTCTTTCATCTTCTGCTGAAGAAGCACTAGAAGAGGCTGGGTGGGGGTCCCCAGGCATGGGTAAGGGTCTCGAGTCGGGAGCTGCATTTCCAACCACATGGCATCCAGCATCCCTCTGGCCCGCCTCATGCCACCGAGGCAGAAGTTCCCAGCAGGTGCTTGTCCCAACCTCGCTGCTTTTGACCTTGGTGACACAGGGATGAGGCATCTTGGGCTCTAGTGTGAAACTTGGGCTGCTCCCCTGGCTCTGGAGAGGGGCTGCCAGGGCAGGAGCCAGCCCAAAACCCAGTGCCAGCATCTTAGACCGTGTTGCTGGGACCCCATGGAGCCCTTCCCTCCTGCACCAGCTCCCTTGGAAGCACCCTGGGACACCCCACGTGGCTCCGTGCCCCCCGGCTGCATCCCTGGGAGTGAGGTGCCACGGCAGCCTGCCATGCTGCTCCCAACCGGAGCGACGTGGGTTTGGGGGTCGAGGATCTTAAATCTGCTGCAGGCAGCTGGTGTCTGGGGTTGGCTGGGTGGGCCCTGGGAACTCCGGGCTACCGGGGCAGGCAGGGTGCAGCCCCCTGCAGCTCCCGGGCCAGGCCATCCTGATGCAATTCCCTGTTTGCAAAACATCTCATCAGTCTCCCCATGAGCGTCCTGGGGCAGTGTAACCTCCCCTCTCGCGTCTGGGGCTGGCCAGACCCTTGAGTGGCTGCTTGGACATGAAAGCAGGGACCTGGCACAGCCATGGGACGTGCTGCAGCCCCCCACGCGTGGCCATGGCAAGCTGATGTCAGGCCTGACAGTGCTTTGGGATTTCAGGCCGCGGGGAGCCCCGGCAGCGCCACAGGCAGAGCTGCCGGCAGCACCGCCGTTTGCTGGCCCTGGAGTTGCTCGGGCAGGGAAGCAGCAGCCGGTTACAAGGTCGCGGCGCTGTGTCAGTGGCACCGGCTGGAGGTCAGCGTGCCAGGGCACGGCGGCTGCGTCCCCCTCGCACCAGCAAAGCACCAAAACAACACCTGGTCCGGTGCTTCCCCCGGGAGCCACGGACTGCGGGAGCACCAAACCATGACATGCAAAGATACCTCTGGGGTGCGGGTGGATTGGTTTTTCCCCACGGAAATGTCAATAAAAGGCTGTCCCCTCTTTTCTGTCCCCTCCACCACCCGCCCCCCAAGTTTGCAGCCCTGCAGGCTGGAGGTGCTGAGCTGCCCCCCCAGGGCACAACGCCCTCAGGTGGGTTTGCTGCTTCCCAGGAGCTGCAGATCCCCCTTGGGTGGGTCACAGCTCTCGCCAGTGCCGGAAGAGTTAATGCTCCCGCAATGCCATGAAATGTTCCTGCTGCAGGTCAGTCTCCACCAGGGATTAGGGAAATCTGGCCGAGGAGCCAGGGCCGGCTCCTGCCAGCTCAGGGCCGGCTGCGGGACGTGCTCGGGGAGGCAGCGGCGGGATTGAAGCCCAGGCACAGCGTGCCGGAGCAGTCCCGCCGGGGTCTGGCACGGCCAGGCGCTGCCTTCCAGCTCAGAAAAAAAGACAGCCTGGCCGTAAATCAGCGGGAGGGAGGGCTGGGAGCGGCTGCCAGGCTGGGGGAGCCCCTCCAGGGGGGCTGGGGGAGCACCCCCCTGCCAGGCAAGCTGGGGTCCCCTTGCCGGGTGGCACACACAGGACATGGCTGGCGAGCGGGGCTGAGCATGGGGGACACGTGCCCGTGCCAGCACCCCGCTCCTGGGCACAGGGCTGCCTCTGCTGCGGTGCCAGTGGGCGCCAAGAGGTGAGGTGCGGGGTGAGGGTCTCCCAGGCCAGCCCTGCTCCCCAGCAGCCCCGCAGCGTGGGCTCCGCGTGTCTCCCTGCCTGTGGCCCTGTCCTAGTGGACCACAGGCTCTGGCTGTTTTCTCATCCTGCAGGAATTCAGCTCCGTGGGCCGGGCGGGGTTTTTTTTGTGTCCCCCCTCCCTCCTCCTTTCACTCTCCCTCTTTGGAGACTTTCTGCATTCTGCCTGCCTTTGATCTCCCCCCGTGTTTGCCCAGCCGATCGCTGGGCTCGCCGGGGTTAGAGGCTGAGGTCAGCGCCTTTCCCATTCCAAACACCCAGAAACATCAGTGGGAAGGGAGGGGATTCAGATTACAACCTTCCCGTCCTCCCCTTCCACCCCACTCGCCCGCTCGCCGTGCCGGCAGGGAGCCAGGGATGAACTGAGCCCCTCTCGCCGAGGGACGCTGCTGCCACCGTGTCCCCAGCGCCCCGGGAGCCGAGCAGCGGCGATGGATGGAGGCAGCGGGCAGCATCGCTGGTGGTCCGGCGGGTGCTGGGCGTGCTGAAGGGCAGCGGTTTGGTCCTCTCCTCCTCCTCCTCTTTGTCCCCCCGCCCGCCCGCCTTCTCCCTCATCCCCTCCATCCTGAATGTGATTTATCCCGAGCCCTCACCAGCAAGCCAGGCCGGCGGTGCGGGGTGGCCAGATGCCTCCTTGCGGGAATTTCGGCCGCCCGGGCCGGGGCCGGCAAGCGGGTGGGCAGCAGCGTGTCCCCACGGGCGTCCTGCTCCTCCTGCCTTTGGTGGTGGCGGCGGCCGGGCTGAGCCTGCAGCCGGGCAGGATGCGGCACCTGGGGGTCTGCCCCAACCAGCTGAACCCCAACCTGTGGGTGGACGCGCAGAGCACCTGCGAGAGGGAGTGCCAGGCCGACCAGGTGAGTGAGGGAGCCGGGGAGGCGGGGGGGGCATCCCCATGTCTCCAAGGGAGATGCTTTGGGGTGTGGGTCTTGTGCCCGGTGGTGCAGCTGTTTTGGTTGTTTCAGTGCAACAGCTCAGCCCAGCTGCAGCTTCCCCAGCTGACCCCTCCCTGTCCTGGGGACATTCCCCAGACCCCCGAACAGGCAAAGAAACTGCTTGTTGCCCCCCATGTCCTCCCCTTGGGCCACATCCCATTCCCAGGACACCCCATCCATGCATCCCCAGGATGCTTCTACCCAGCTGAGGGGCTGGGATGAGGGCAATGGGTGTGCTGGGACAGAGACCCCCATCAGGCAGCGGTCAGTCTCCCCCAGCCCCCCCCCATCCACTTTTCCCCAAGGGCAGGAGCTCAGCCATGGACCGGGCTGCCTGTACCAGAGACCCCCAACTCCAAGCTCCACAGCAGTGAGCAGAGGCACCAGCACCTCCACCCCAGCTAGGGCTGCCTGGATCCAAGGGGAGACTCCTTTGCAATTCATCTGTGTAATGAGCTCTGCCTCCCCTCAGCCAGTGAAAGCTGAGAGGGGTGAGATGCTCTCTGCTGGGGGGAGGGGAAGGGGCCATCATCACTGCAGTGCACCCCTCAGCATCCTGGGGGGGTCTGGGGTCTGGCTGGGGCCAATGCAGCTGTGCCAGGGAGATCTGGCTCTTACCCGAAGCCCGGTGATGCTGAGGGTGCACACGGCTGCGCAGGGGACACCCACCCACCCAAAAACCCCACAGGGTGTGGGAGCAACACCCACAGCACAGCAGTGACCCCCATGTTGTCCCCACCCCAATCTCCTCTCCCTCCCTCCTCCCCGGCCAGGACTGCGAAGGCTTTGAGAAATGCTGCACCAATGTGTGCGGGCTGCGGAGCTGCGTGGCCGCCCGCTTCGCCGACGGCAGCCTGCCGGCACTGGCACTGGCACCCGCGGCCTCCTGCGAGAGCTTCGTGTGCACGCAGCAGGGCTCCGACTGCGACATCTGGGACGGGCAGCCCGTCTGCAAGTGCAAGGACCGGTGTGAGAAGGAGCCGAGCTTCACCTGTGCCTCTGACGGGCTCACCTACTACAACAAGTGCTACATGGATGCAGAAGCTTGCATCAAAGGCATTACACTGAATGTAGTCACCTGTCGGTACCATCTTACCTGGCCAAACACCAGCCCTATCCCACCAGAAACAACAGCTCGCCCTACTACTGCCTATTCTGAGACAACGGTCATTGATATCTTGCCACCTGCTCTAGTGAACAACCCTGTCCATCAGTCCGTCTACGTGGGAGAGACCGTCAGCTTCCTCTGCGATGTTACAGGGAGACCCAAGCCAGAAATCACGTGGGAGAAGCAGGTCGATGGGAAAGACAAAGTCATTATGAAGCCAAATCATGTCAGAGGGAATGTCGTGGTCACCAACATCGCCCAGCTGGTCATCTACAACACCCAGCTCCAAGACGCAGGCATCTATACCTGCACCGCCAAAAACAGCGGTGGCCTTCTCAGGGCTGATTTCCCTTTGTCAGTCATCAAAGGAGAACCCACATCCAAAGAAGCTTCCCAAAACAAAACACATTTTCCAACCGATGAGTGCCTGAAGCAACCAGACAGCGAAGACTGTGGGGAAGAACAGACCAGGTGGTACTATGATGCAAAGAAAAACAACTGCTTTACTTTCATCTATGGGAACTGTAACAGCAACCTCAACCACTTTGAGACCTATGAGAACTGTATGTTAACATGCATGAACGGCCCAATCAACATTTGCAATCTGCCAGCCCTCCAAGGTCACTGCAAGGCCTACGAGCCCAGATGGGCCTATAACAGCTTGACAAAGCAGTGCCAGTCCTTCATTTATGGTGGATGTGGGGGCAACGAGAACAACTTTGAGAGCCGGGAGGCCTGTGAAGAGATGTGCCCTTTCCCGAAGAACACGCACTGCAAAGCTTGCAAACCACGCCAGAAGCTGGTGACGAGCTTCTGCAAAAGTGACTTTGTTATCCTGGGCCGTATAACAGAGCTGACCGAAGACCAAGACTCAGGACATGCCCTGGTGACAGTGGAGGAGATTCTCAAAGATGAAAAAATGGGATTAAAATTCCTGGGGAAGGAACCACTAGAAATCACACTTTTGAACATGGACTGGAGCTGCCCATGTCCCAACATGACCACAGTGGATGGCCAGCTCATCATCATGGGAGATGTCCACAACGGCATGGCTGTCCTACAGCCAGACAGCTTTGTGGGCACCTCCAGCATCCGGCGCGTGCGGAAACTCCGCGAAGTCATCCACAAGAAAACCTGTGAGCTTTTGAAAGAGTTCCTAGGATTGCATTAACCTCCTCCACACGTGTCAGCCTTCCAGACCCGTGTGTTATGTAGGGCTAACAAGCGCTAGGCTAGTGCACAAACTAAACAAGCTGTTTGAAGATACACCGTAGGAATTATGCAGAACCCTTATTTTAATCCATTAATGATGCTTAGCAACAATGTAGTATGGTCTTTGGCAAGCACGTAAAACAGCAGCAAAAGGCTATTAATCTTGCATTGAAATCAATTTGTCCATATAGGAGTGCCATTTAACTAGATGACTCACTGCAGTAATTATACAATTTTTATGTAGCTTCCATCATAAATGACGGAATTCATAGCATTTGTTTAGCTAATTGGTACACAGCTAAGTAATATATAATGTCAACCTAATCTGCCTCATTTACAGTATGGAAATGCTATGGTAAGCCATTATAAAAAAGTCACACTTGTGTCCTTATAGCAGCACTAACATTTCAAGACAAAAGCCTGTAAATTATTGTCTATATTTACAGTTGTGCACATTTAACCGATATATGCATTATGAATTGAAATTTTCTTAGCAGTTTTCTTTGGAATGTACCTTGTTTTTAAATGGCAACTACTACCTACCTTTCAATCCTTACTGGAGAAGAAACTCCCTTGATCCTATGCCCAGGACAACAGGTCCCTGTAGAAGCTCAAGGCACAGTCTCACCCCAAAATGACTTTTCTGTCATCAGAACAAGGTTAGCAAAGACCCTCCTTCCACTGCCCTTCCGTATTTTTGTTTTCATCAATATATTGTCTATAACAAACAGTCCAAGGCAGACAGCAGTTTGCTGCCAGTTGTCTTGCTTTTGAAAATCCTTTACACCTGAGCATATGCAGCAATTTATTGCTTATTTTCATTAGAAATCCTGCTTTTATAGGTGAGAGAGTAAAGTAAGAGGAGTCAGAACAAAATTCAAAATAGAAAAATGCAATACGCCGTCTGCAGACCGTATTACACAGGCACAAAGCTGCTGCAACTGAACTGCACAGACACAGGCACACATAGTGAACGCTCTTTAAAGCCATTTATTAATTTGACCCTTTTAGAGCACTCTCGGAAGCCACAGAAAAAACTTTCTGCCAGGGCACTGTATATATGCATATGAATAAATATCCTAAGACAGCACGGGCTGTCGGTGTGAGCACGTGCAAACACATAGGATCGATCATTTTAACATTCGTGTGTCCAAGAATGTAACATTTGCCTATTCAAAAAATCCTTAAATAAAGAAAAAGCTGATCCTGGAAAATTCCTGCCTCCGCTAAGGCCTGTCATTGCAGGGAGGAGGGGTGAGCGTGGCACGGCCAGCCTTATCATTGCTCTTCCTTCGGTTGGCGCAGGGAGTTACCACGGCGGTGCCCAGAGCTTTGTGCCTTGCACAAAAGGCCAGTTCAAGGCTGGATGGGTGTCAAGGCACGTTTGGGTGCGAGGAAGGAAGGTGCAGCGAGCGCTACTCCGTGGTGCCATCTAACGGGCTCGCTGCGGGGTGAGCGGCAGGACGGTGCCTGCTGCCCGGCGGCGGATGCGCGTCTCATTTTGCAGATGTGTGCTGGAGCTGGGCATGGTAAGGGCTGGGGGAAGGAGATTGATTAGGCAGGTGCTGGGCTTCAGCATGATGCACAAGGCTCTAAACCCCCCAAAGTCTGCACACGTTGGGTATTTTGGAGTTGCAGGGAGGAAGAATAACAGTGAGGGTGAGAGCGTTGACCGTGGGGCCAGCTGTGGTTTCTGTGAAGGTTTTCCATGACCTGCAGCAGCCACGGGCAGAGACCACAGCATGGTGGAAACTGGGCTCCTCTCCTAGTGGTCTAGGCTTGGGTTATGTCCGAAATGCTCTGGCAACAGGAACAGATCTGAATCTCCAGTTATTTCTATAATTTCAGAAGAAGCTGGGTGGGAG